TTTAAATTGTGTGCCATTTTGAGTAATGCGATAAAATCTCACTCCTTCCCACTCCATATGCTGGGACGTGAGTCATCCCTTTGTCCAGCATATCCAGCTGTACATACTACCTGCTTGTTAGTCATTTAGTAGCCCTCTTGGTTATCAGAGCAGAAACACACACACACACACACACACACACAGAAATATATATATGTGTGTGTGTATGTATGTGTATATATAAATGTTTTTATTCCTTATATGTGTGCGTGTGTGTGTGTGTGTGTGCGTGATATTGTCTATGGCTTCAGGCATTCACTGGGGGTCTTTGAATATATCCCCCAAGGATAAGAGAGAACTACTGTATTTAAACCTAAAAAAAGTATTCCATGTGAAAGTATGAAATCCTGATGTTATATTCCCAAAGATGTCATTAGTCACATTTGGAAATAGAAAAGTGGCTCATGCCTGTAATCCCAGCACTTTGGGAGGCTGAGGGTGGAGGATCCCTTGAGCCCAGGAGTTCGAGACCAGCCTGGGCAACATGGTGGGACTCTGTTTCAAAAAAACTAATTGATTAATTAAAAAAATAAAGAGAAACAAAGATGTGAAAATTATATAAAAGTTTCTAATGGTGAATCTGTTTATAAAATTTTCTGTTTTATGTCAATAAATATTATTTTAACACAGTTTTCCTCCCTTAATAAACAGACAGGCTTAAATTCAGAGAACATTAATGTTGTTAGCTCTTGCCTCCTTTCACCACATTTCACTACTTAAATGTGAAAAATGTATTTCCTAGTTTTTGTCATTTATATAAAGCCTCTCTTATATTGTGAAATTCTGGGCTAATGATTTTATGTAAAATGGAAATCATTTTTATTTTGACAAATCTATACACTATTCGAAATTTGTTCAGCTCCCTAAACTGTGTAGTCTTCCTGGAAATTCAGGATTAGTTCAGTTGCTGGGTAAGAGATGCCTCTCCATGTCCTCTATTATCCATCCTCTTAGCCCACAAAATGGGCTTAGAATTACATCATTTGGTAAATGTGGGACATGGTAGCCAAGATGCAAGGACAGTGGCTTACATTCACCTTTATAGTCTTGCTCCCAAGTTTGTCCTACAGCATGAATCCGAGGTGTCTTGTGGAGTTTCCTGATCAAAGTTCATGCAGTCACTGTTTTGACCCAGTCACCTGAGTTTAGCTTCTGCCTTGATTTCCACATGAATAGATCTTGCTGTCCTGCCACTGGGCAGAATTTTCACAGCAAAAAGACAATTTACCAAGTATAGTCACCACTACCAGATATCTGAAGAATAATTCTATTTAAAGTCTTGTTTACTCTGCCTTGTCTACCTGGAAGGTTGCCCAGTTAAGAGTTTTCTACATTAAGATTGAGTTTTTCTGTGCTCTCTGGACCTAGAACTGCAGCTGAGTCAATCTGCACATCTCCTATCTCACATTTTCTCATCAGTCCTTGTCTTGCCAGTTTTAGCCTTGATGGCAATTAACTAGTCCTGTTGCTCTAAGATACTAATAATGCCACTTTCATGTTACAAAAGTCATCACAGAAGGATAATTTACCTCTTAGTAATATGAAAGAAATCCAGAATGCTAATACAATATGCGTAATATTTTCTGGAATTTTTTTATTCCATTAGGCTAAAACAACTGGGGGAAATGGTCTTCATATATTTTTTCATAATGATTGGCTAATCAAGATAGAGTGTAAAGTAAATCAAAGAAACATAACATAGCTCAGAAAGAACAAAAGAGATGCAATTTAAAAATGTTTAATGACACTCCATTTACAAACATTGCTTTACAAATGTATTAAAGTTAATTCTCTTTCTAAAATGTCTTAGACTAGTAATAGGGTTGGGGAAAAAACATCTCCCTTTCCTTCCCTGGGCTCTAATTTTACTTTTTAGGTACTACTACTGAGGAATTTCTAATTTGGCTCATCACTTCAGTGGGAATTCAGTGCACATAAGGGGCACATATGTAATTGGCAACCTAATTTTTCTGCTTTCATCAAATGGTGCAATGCCAAATCTTCATTGAACTTGCCAGTTAAATGCACTTGGGAACCAAACAGCAGCAAGCATACATGAGATGAAAATGAACAAATTGGAAAGAGTCATTAACTTTCTGTTTTCCTATCACAACAAAAATTGTATCATTGAAAGTGTTGCAAAGTGGGGAATTCTACTTGAAACATTAAACAATCTTAAAAGAGAATAATTCATTTACTTAACATCTAAAATGTGGTTCATTATAATTTATAAATGGGGTTTCTAGTGCAGATTTTTTTCAACAAAAATACAAAATCATTAAAATGAATAAACTTTTCAGGAGTATGTTTTAAGTTATATGTTTCACATGTCTTTCTGGTCTAGTGCATATAAATTCTAGCCTTTATTTGAAAAGAAAAATTGTCAGAAAATTAAGCAAGAAATGTCAGCTTCATGTAATGCCTTAATGAATAAAGGCAATTGACAGATTTTCATGGTTCTCAGTAATTATGAATGGAACTGAGAGTGTAAAAATTACAATCTGTTGTGGTTACCAAAAATGCCCTTGAAATATCTGGTCTGATATATAATCTTGAAGTATTCAATATAGAGTCATAATCAAATTATTGTTACTAATGACAATTAAATAGAGAACCAGGACACTGAACACACCACAAACTTGCTGAATATGATTGAATATCATCCTTTTAGGAGGATATAACCTTTTAAAACGTCTGTTTACAGGTCTCAAACCACGTATTTATTCACTAGATGCAAATGTTCAGTAATACCTCCTCTACAAAGTTACCTTTTACAATGACACCAGGTTTCTTTCAGAAAAGACTGCGTAGGAAAGTTTTCTTTTTCCATTTATGAGTTCAAGTATGTTAAGACTGTTTAAATCATTGACCAGCCCTAAACAATACTAACATTTCATAAATTGCTCTTGCATTGTAATAAGAAGGAGGGAGGTAGGAGAAAAATGCCAACGGATTGTAGGTCAGCTTATTTCACAAACGAAATTTCTAAGGAAACTCCTGAGATTTTTAACTAAGCCAGGCCTTCTGAATGGGAGGTGATATGGACAGTAGAGTAAGACAGGTTGAGTTCCAGTGGTATTACTTACTCTTTGTATCATCTTAGGTTATCCACACACACTTTCAAAATTTAACTTTCCTGGTCTGTAAAATTGGGGAAATAATAATAGCTGTCCCATATGGCACACTATCAATCCCAATATGCTTTGTTAGTCCATTCATTTTTCCAGTACTTAATCAAAGAAGCTTTAATGGCCTATATATTTATATTATTGATATATTCACGCACTTGTCCCAACTTTGCTGTTCTTTCCAATATCACTTTGTTTTTATCACACTCCTTAATATCTCTTCTTCATTAGGTCTTGATCACATGCTTAAATCATTTTTAATGTTTGCTAAACTCTGTATGAGAGATTGAAGAATTAGGAGAGAGGAACATCAATGTGAAAGGGTAAAATATATAGAGAATATATAAGGTGCCAGCATAAGACAAAACCCTGAAGATGTACAATGGTCACAAGCCATGGAAGAAGATACGACAACTGAATTGTCAACCTTGCCACCTCCTCCGTAGTCTCCTAAATCTTATCTTCCTTTTGTCTAATTTATGAAAAATGTTTCCTACAGTTGTCTCCCAAAAGCAGAGTTGTCCCCATGCGATAATATACATTGACCACTCAGATTCATTTAAAAAGTACATCTTGCTTTTATCCCCAATATAACCACATTTCAGAAGTTAGATCATAGCCAGTTAGATTACACAGTGTGTGTGTGTGTGCGCGCGCACACACACACCCCCCCCCCCCTTGAAAAAAGTGTAGATCACTTGATTTCTGGAAGTTGTTTCTCAATACCTCAGTGCACCTGACCACAACATCTTGTAATCTGGGAAGGAGGTAAGGGAGGTGATGTCGGTGTACAAAGTTAATATAGGGGATGTATTTTCTACCTAGAAATGGTCCTACATTCTACCAGAATGGGTTAAAAAAAAATAGTGCGAGCGCGCGCAAACACACATACACACACACACACACGGAGTTAAATGCACTACATTTGCTGTATTGCCTGCTAAAGGCATAAATATACTGGAGTGGAGATAAAGAAGGGGATGGATGGGAAAGAGTTCAGGACTCAGTGTAAACCTGAAAGGAAATGAGGCAGTGCAAGGGGAGAGAGGATCAAGGGAAAATAAATTATGTAGGCAACAGAACCATGCATCAAAAGTCTTTTCGATCTCTAAACTGGCAAATGTTCTCCAGGGGACCATCAGTCAAATGATGTCAAATTGGTAGCTGGTTCTCTTGTAATGCCTGTATTGTGTAGGACCTTCCTTGTAGGAACACAAGTTCCACTCTCGGACACAGTCGCAGTGCTTCCATTATCTTACAGAACTGATTGCTGCAAATGGTTTCTGGGAGGTGTGACCTGCTTAAAGGAAAGAAGCCAGGTTTCTTTTCTTGTTACTGGGGAAGGAAGACACTTGTCAGGATGTGAATTGTGTGGGTGAGAAGGAAAAGCAGAGAAAGAATCTGGTAATTCCTTCCCTTAGAGTAGGAAGAGAAAGAAGATAACATCGGTACCTCGGAGAGGAGAAATACAGTGCATTTATTTCCAGCATCCCCGCAGTCACTTCACATCTCTTCAGACTCTCCCTATTCTCTAGTCTTGACCTGCCCATGCACTTGAACTCCACGTAAGCACGAGGATGGGCTGGGGGAAAAGGCCAGGTCAGCGCGGTGGGATATTGCTGCCCCTAAAATGAAAACTCAGCAGCGGGCCAGCAGTGGGTGTGCGCGCGTCGATGCCAGAGGATGCGTGCGTGGAAGCCGGCGGACGCAATGGGCCGGGCGCCGCCCTCCAAGCCGCCCCGCCCAGCCCACCCCACTCCCCCTTGTATAAAGGCCGCGCTGGGGCCCGCCCTCCTCACAGCCCGGGAGCGCGGCCTGCCGGGGAGGTGGCTCTCTCGCACCCCACACAGTCACACTCCGCGCACTCACACACTTGGAAGCGCCTCCCCACGTCCCTCCCCTGCCCTCCTCTTGCTCTGCTCTTCTCTCCCTCACCACAAATAGTCGCCGACCTACTGCCAATCCGCCTCTCTCTCTCTCTCTCTTTCTCTCCTCTCTCTCTTCTCTCTCTCTCTCTCTCTCTCTCTCTCTCTCTCTCTCAACATGACTGACTGGGAAGCGGTGGCTCGGGCAGAGCAGCTCTGCTGGCGCAGGCAGGAGGAGCAGGAGGATTATTAAATAACGCAGCTCGACTCTGTGCAACTGGGAGTGGAGAGAAGGAGCCCAACAGCCGAGAAGGGGAGGGAGGGCAGAGGAGGGGGACCAGGAAGGACACCCCCGTGCCCCGAAGACATAAATCCCTGAGTGCCCGGGAGGAGCCTTAACAAGCGCACGGAGCCCTCAAGGTAGTAACGCCCCTGGTGCCTCAGCGCTCAGCGGGTCGCGCGTCGCGTCGCCGCTGTGTGGGGCCGGCCGCAGGCGGACGCGGGGATGACCGCTCGGCAGGTGACCGCGCCGTGTAGGGGCCATCCGGGAGCAGCGCGCGCCCAGGCCCGGAGCGCCGGCCGCGGGCCGGCCTGCTCGGCGCAGAGACCTGGCCTTGCGGGCGGGGTGGGAAGGAGGCGGGCGGGCTTGCTCCCCACCGGCCGGCGGCTCCCGGTGCACTGCGTGGCCATTTCCTCCGCGCTCCTGCGTGGTTTGCTGCCTGCGGCCGCGGCGGCCGCTCCAGGACGATGCGGAGCGCTGGCCAAGGAGGCAAGAGTTGGCGCAGGCTTCGGGTCGCTCCCCTCCCTCGCCACTCGCGTCCCGCAGGTAGAGGCGACCGGTCAGCGCTGGCGCCCTGGGCTGCGGGTGCTGAGGTGGGGACGGCGACGAAGAGGGGGAAGGGGAGGAGGGGGCGGGGAGCCCGGGGCTCCCAGAGGAACCGCAGTGCCGGGCCGGGACGGCCTCTTGCCTCCGCCTGCTTGTCCTCTGGCGCCGGTTTCCTGAATTGGAAGCAAGACCCTGCCCAGAGGCAGCAGTAACAGCAGCGACTTAGATTGAACCAATTGCTTTGTGGTGGCGTGTCAAGGGCCCCAGGTTGTGTGTGTGCGTGCGTGTGTGTGTATGTGTGTGTGTGTGTTCGCGCTCCGGACTAACCAATGGGTTGGTTCACCTGAGCAGAAAGCCGTAAGCTGAAACCGCATGTGGCCCCCTGCCCCTTCGACTTTTGGCTTGTGTCCCAGGGACTCGTACACACGGGTGCCAGCAAGGGGTAAGGGTGACGGAGGGATTTGTGAATGGTGCTTCTGCGTGCGTGGAGGCTGAGCCTTGCTGATGTAAAGGAGGAGGTATCCAGGGTGAGAAGAAAGGCTATTTATGGCAAAGAGTTGTGAAATTTCTTGGGGTTTCCTTTAGTGTATCCTGAACTGCTTTCTTTCTCTCTCTCTCCTTTCTCTGCCTCAGAATTAGAAGCAATTATGCCTTCCTTTCCTCTCGTGGGACCTGGAATATGAAATGAAGTAAAAAAAAAAAAAAATCACTCATATTTTTACAGGTAGAAAAAAAATACTTCTTAGAAGTTACAGATTATTTGCCCTTTAATGTTTTTATGTCCTCTTCTCCACCCCTCTTACCTTTTCAGGCAGTCAGTAGGACTTACAAGTCAGAAAATACCTACTTGGTTTCAACAGTTTTCATTTCTGAAATCTTTACAGTTGAATACCTTCCTATTGAAATGTAACACACATCCTCCCTTCTCTGCCCCTCAAGGACTATTAAAAATAATGTGTACACGTTTAACGTAAAGCTGGTTTTATTAAAAGCCTTAGGGAGAACGGAGAAGAGGACACCTAGGTGGGGGTCAGTTATCACTGGTTCCTTCAAAACTGGTTATTAAGGGAAGACCTAAAATACTGTTAAGCTAGGCTATAGCATAATTTGTTTTGGTTTCTCTTTCTGTTTGCTTTATAACATTATAACAGGTACATGTTCCAGATAGGTAACTTGAAACTTAGAGATGACTTGGGACAGTGCCTGTCACGATGCTTATAAAATGAATGTTTTCTCTTAAAAGTAGCCACCTTTACTTTCATAGAACTGTGAGTGGGTTTAGTAATAGGATAGTGTCCTTAATATTGCAAACTGAGATGTCTCTAAAAGCCTGTCAACACAATGTTTTCCAAATATTGAAGTTCCATGTTGTAACCACCCTTTCAATAGTTTCACAGAGAAAAAAGAGAAGTTGGTCAACCTATTGTCAGAGTGATTTGTCTTCATTTAAATTAATTCATTATTTTGATCAAAACAAACCAACTGTTGTTTGTATTGTTTTATTGATTTCCTTAACACTCCTGTTCTTTGAAAAAAAAAGTAGAGTTAAGGATTTGATATTTTGATTTTGTTAGATTTAATTACTTTGAAATACATTTTCAACACAGAAGCATGTGCAACTTTAAATGTTAGGTTAGAACTCAGATGGAGAACCCCACTCTGAGGGTTATTATGTCAACTATCCCAAACTATGGGAACATAGATATAATAGGACATTTAAAAATGTAATTGATGAACTGTATTACTGCAATCATTAAAAGTCCGATTTATGAGTATTTTGTTTTTGACAGTCAAGAGAATCAACAACTGCTTATGATTTTAAAGATGCATTATTTATACCACAGAATGTTAATTTAGATAAAACAAAGTAGAAAATGAAAAATTTGTTATATTTTTACAATAATAGTTATTCAAACCTTTATTGCGTTTTATTACTCATCATAATGCTCGTAATAAAGGGCCTAACGTGTGCAAGGCACTAGTGTCTAGGCACTGGGAAGGAATGAGAGATTCCTTGTTCCCTGTCCTTCAGGAACTTACTTGCCATGTGGGAGGAATCTGATGCTCATGCTTGAGTGTAGAGTTAACAACCCATAACAATAAGAGATTACATGTCTAATGAGTATCGCAGGAGTTCAGAGCATGGCAATAACATTTCATACTGGATTTTGTTTGAGAATGCTTTGGGGGTAGGTAAGACTTGCTTGGTCTTGATCTTAAAGGATAAGTAGGATTAGTACATTGTGGATAAGAAAAATATAAGGTACAAGATGCAAGTCTCCTGGAATAATAGAAAATAATACATAAGGGAAGATAAGTTTGTTTTGACATAAATTAAGATATTGCTGGATATTTTGCAGAGTGCAGGTTGAGTCTGTTTTGGATGTACATCCTTCTACACATTCTATCCTTTTTTTTTTTTTTTTTTCTGAGATGGATTTTCGCTCTGTCACCTAGGCTGGAGTTCAGTGGTGCTATCTCGGCTCACTGCAACCTCAGCCTCTTGGGTTCAAGCGATTCTTCTGCTTCAGCCTCCCAAGTAGTTGGGACTACAGGCGCATGCCACCCAGCCCAGCTAAATTTTGAATTTTCAGTAGAGATGGGGTTTCGCCATGTTGGCTAGGCTGGTCTCGAACTCCTGACCTCGTGATCCACCTGCCTCGGCCTCCCAAAGTGCTGGGATTACAGTTGTGAGCCACTGCGCCCTGCCCACATTCTATTCTTCAAATTCATTGTTAATATTTGCACATTTAAGAAGACAAATCTTTAACTTTATATTTTGTTTGTTTTTTGAGATGGAGTTTCGCTCTTGTAGCCCAGGCTGGAGTGCAATGGTGCAATCTCGGCTCACTGCAACCTCCGCCTCCCGGGTTCAAGAGATTCTCCTCCCTCAGCTCCCTGAGTAGCTGGGATTACAGGTGCGTGCCACCACACCCGGATAATTTTTGTATTTACTTTAGTAGAGATGGGGTTTCACCATGTTGGCCAGGCTGGTCTCGAACTCCTGACCTCAGGTGATCCACCCTCCTCGGCCTCCCAAAGTGCTGGATAACAGGCATGAGCTACCGTGCCTGGCTTATATTGTCTTTTAATAGAAAATATGTAGTTGTATTACTACAATAGTACAATAGAATTCTTGTAGAGAATATGTACTTTAAATATTTAAATATGTTGAGTAAAAGTAGCATATGTGTAACCTCTTTATGGTGAGGTGTTTTCAGTATTTCCTTCAGCAAATCTTTTTAGGTTTGTTGTAAAGAAGTGTGATGATGTGTAAAAGAATAACAATAGCATCTTTTGAATAGTTAACATTTTATTCTTCATATAAAATGTGTAGTCTATTAAATAATATATTTTATATAATATTTTATTTTAAACTTCTTAGATTTATCTAATCTATTAGATTAGATTTTATTTAACATTATTGTATGCAGCCACATAATAGTTAATCTATCCCTATATTATTTGCCATAAATATATAGCTATGATACAGAGCTTGTGGTGAACGTTTTGGAATTTTAGCAACAATTTTATGGCTAATTTAATTATCTTCTGATAAATAAATTGCATTAACAATAACACCATGACCTTTCTCTATTCTAAACATAGTTGTTTTTTTCTTTGTGTATATAGGTTGATTTTAGACAAACTGTTTAAAATGCATTTGTTCATTTCGCGAATAAAAGGGAAACATCTGAATTGACTCTGAGTCTGTCTATTCAGTATGACACCCCAGAAGTATGTTGTGGTGACAGTAAGGAAATTGTGCAAATATTAGACATGACTTTCAATAAACAACCAAATGGAATTACTTTCAGATTAGTTGAAATAAAATATTTTCATATATGTATTTTGTTGACAGTGAATAGATAAAGAGTTATTACAAAACTGAAAGCCTGTTTAATCACCAATTTTATATTCATGCAAGAATGAAATGATTCCCCATGTAGTTAGGGTACAGACTAGCCTATCTGTTAATTGGTACCTTTTGAGTTTGGTTTTGGACTATATGTCACAGGTGTATCATTTCAATAATGTAAATTTCATCCACTGTATGACTGACAGCTTCTGCATGATTTCCCTATTGGACAGTGACAAAATCTGTTTGCTTTATAGTGAGTACATACGCTTCTATCAGCAATATTATCTTCTCTGTGCAGGAGTGTCAGTTAACAATAAAACATGAAGTCTGGGGTGGGAGAAGCAGTGAAAAAAGATGGGGAGATTGAGAAGAAAACACTACAACAAAAGAAACATGTTTTACTATGAAGCTTAAACTGAATATTAAAATGTGAAGCTGGCTATTCTAAACTGCAATACATTATCAAGATATTGTTATCAGTCTACTTTAAACAACCATATTGTATTTTAAGTTGTTTCCATGCAGGCTACATTTTTTTAAAAGATGTTTGTTGGAAATGTTTACTGAGGTGTTTGATATTACAAATTTTTAAAAGATTTCTGCTTAGATCATTAACTAATGAAGTTATTTGCCAAGTTCCTGGCCCTATACCTAGAATAACTTAAAGCACAGCTTTTGGTTTTGCATCATTTACACTGCATTAACTCTTCTAAAATATTAATTAAACTTAAA